ACATACATATCTGTCTGTCTACCTATCTCTATCACTCTCTTTTTCACACTATGACTGATTTTTTGTTGACCAAGGTACTCTGCTAACGCGAAGCGGGTCGGAGGTGCAAGGCACACCCCACGTCTCTGAATCCTTCTCTCAGGCGAAAGAGGATGCGTACGACCGACAGACCGATAAAAAGGCGCGCTTGCACGCGACGACGCCCACCGTCGGGATAATTTCGTTCGCGAATAACGAATACGGACGTTCGATCGATTCGTAAACCGACTTCCATCCACGTTTTAAGATCGAAACTTGACGTTTTTTATTCGTTGTTCGAGAACGATGTCTGTCCCGCCTCTGGACGACGTACACGAATACAAACCGATCTTCCACACGCTGGGAATCGTTCGTCGGTGGTTCCCGATCCTCGAGACGATCGTTTCCGTCACGCTGCTCGAAATTGATGGAATTCGGTGTTGGAACAAATTTTATTCGCGCGTCGAGCTTCTGGGCGTGGCAAAGGAAGCAGAGTGGGGGGAAAAAATTTCACTACGTCGATTCTGGGCGAGCCTATAGTCCGGGGACCAATCTGAACAATAAATCAGTCGAGTGGTTATAGCGTGGTGGAAATGAAAAAGATGGTCGTATAAATGTACATCCGATACGATCTTGTTTCCGAGTTACATCGTTAGAGCATAGCTGGTAGAACGTAGATTAGGTTGCAAGGTCGTGTCGAATGTATTTTTGATCGACTCTTTCTCTTGTTAAATTCTGAATTTACCAAAGAACATCCCAGCTGTTGCATGAAAATTCATGCAGCAGTTGAAGTCTCTGATGATTTCGAGCAGTGGCAATGACATCGTTGAGGGACTGATTTGCCGGTAATAGTACGATCAAAACGGTGAAGAAAACCAGTCAGAGTCGGGCAGAATGTAATCTGACCACGATACGATCACATATGTACATATAATCACACGGTAATTGCCGTCCATTTGCGGTGTAATTATGATTGTAAATCTTGATAGATCGTAAAAAAAACAGTGCAATTATCGTACGATCGCATGTAATTTTATCGTGGAGAATGTAATCGGATTTTTCCCCAACTGAAACGACAATTTTGTACAAAATCAGTCAGGAACCTCCGCGCGAACGATCGTCGCCGCGTCGCATTTGGTATGCCTGCGCTTTCTCGCCTCCGCTTATTTATTTCATTTTACGCCTGGTTCTCGGCTGTCTAGCCGCGTTGCTCGCATTTCTTGTCAACCGTAGCAGCAGCATGACGAAAAGAGCCGTTCACACTGAACATCGATGTGTACCGTGTGCCCTTTCACCGCCCCCTCCCCTCGCCCCCATCCTCGGGACTCTCTGGTATCGAGGCAATGCGTTACAGATCGATTTCTCCTCTTTGGGGGACCGCGTACTCGATGAAACGTACCTTCGAACATGGTCTTTCCACTCTTGGAAACCAGGTTTCCTACGATGCATCAAAGACGATAGAATTCTATAACCAAACAAACACTCGACTCTTTGCAGCTTTGATAAAAATGACAGTCTAACGATGCAGACAAGCTTTGCAACCATTAGTGACGCTGATTAAGAGGCATCGAGGGTTGAAAGACAAGTTTCGTCGTTCAAACTCAATCCCAAACTTATACAGGATGTTTCAGTAAAGTTTATAACCCTGAAACGCCCTGTATAATAGGATGTTCGCGGGATTCCTCGCGGACCGGAAACCATCCGAAAAGTTAATGGCGGACGCGGAGCCTTTGAGCGAGGGGAGACCCCCGGGTGGCGGTTTCTCGAGACAAGAATACGCGGAGCGCATAAAACGCGTCGCGACGAGCGCCTTTCCGTGGCGCGAGTTCGTCCCCAAAGTACACGGATATTACACCCCGGGGAGGAATTTCGCTTCCGTATTTATACTGGCGTCGGAACCGAGTGCCTTCCATCCTGTCTCTCCTCTTCCCGCGGTAAATTATTCAACTCGATCCCCGTCGAGAGACGATTCCCCCGGTCCTTTGAGGCTCGATATTGCTGTGACAATAATTACGTCGACCTACCCCACCACCCCTCGGGCCAGCCGTGTAATTCAATTTTTTCCGCTCGTCCAAGAGTTCTTGGCGCGTACTGGTAATTCTCTTTTTCCACCGTTGAAAGACGACGACGACCGTGCGATCGAGAAAAGGGAGGTTCATTATAGAAGCACCGACTTGAACCGTACACAGATCGACTCGATCCCACGATCGATAGCACTTGGCTCCGGGATCAGATCGATACCAGTGTCGAAGGGGCAGCTTTATTAGCGACACACGATGCTTCGAGAAGCAATCTCGATGACCCATAACGCCTCTCGATCGCGATCCATTGCACCGTCTTAACGGGACACTGTACTCTTTCTTAACGACACGCATTGCACGCCGCTCAGCATGCAGTTTTTAAACGATCATATATTTTTCTTTTGTGAAAACGTTTACGACGCTTCTGGCACGGAACGAAGCCGAGCTCTCGAGAGGAGCCATCAGAAGGTAAAGACAAGAGGACCATATTTCTCCTGGCACATACGTCATCTTGAGAGCATCGGCAGAGTTGCTCGGATTGATTGATCACGATTGTCTCGCATGCAGAACACACGCACTAAAGTGTTCGACTACCCTTGCGATCCCCTCTCTCTTTCTCTCTCTCTCTCAAAACTCTCTTACTCTCTTACTCTCTGATCTTTTCCTCCTCTCTTCTATCCTCGTCTATATCTTCGCTCTATCACTTTTCTCTGTCTACTCAGCGGTTTGCATTCCTCTTCGATGGCTTCCTTTGTCTCGAAAGCGAGCCTAATCTATCGCTGACTCCGTTCAGCCGGCGGAGGATTCTAGCTTCGTCCCAGAATTCCTCGAGGAACCGCGTCTCGAAGACGCTCGAGCAACTCGCGCGGAAACGCTCGCCCTCGAGAATCAGTCGGTTGGATCGACGCGACGAGCGAGACTCTGTAATAAATTTCTTCTTGGGAACGCGGATTAGATACTGGAAAAGTCAATTTTGCTCGTTGGATAAACGATAAATAATATATAACTTGTCATTAAAATATTTATCTATCGTTGCTCCGTTTCTATTCGCGGACTAGTGTCGCGGTTTGAAAATACCGAGAAATAAATCCTTCGAGGATGATGGAATAATTTATCTACGTTAGTCGAGAATTAAATTTGCCCGATTCTCTGTGAAATTTCGTCGACATCCTTTAGCTTTTTCACCGCTCGTCGCGTCGGTTTCGGTCGCGAGTACCTCCGTGGAAGTTCGAACAAGATCGAACGAAAATCAACTGGTTGTTCGAGGCCACTACCCCCACGATACCGCCTGGCTACTCCATCCTCTTGTCTCTGCACGCAAACTTGAGGGCACGTCTCCGGAACGGAAAGACTATCGTGGCGTAAAAGTAGAACTCGCATCTGCTGCGTGGGGCTAGAAAGATTTGCCCCGAGTAACGATCATCTGTCCGATTTACAATTTTCCACTTGCAAGTTTAAAATTGACCATCATTGGCCTAGAAAAAATTTTCAAATTCCACCCAGGGGCAGTCTTTCCAGCTCCCCGGTATAGCTTCGCAGGAGGAAGTGGCCTCGAGCACTATATCGGGCCCCCATGCCCGGAAAACAATTTTCTCTCGAAAGAAAATTAGCCCAGCCCGGAGACTTTCGATTCCAGCGATCGAGATGGACTAATTCTTGAAAACAAAGAGCTCGCGCGCGGGAAAAGTAATCGCGAAGTTTTCTTTATCGAAGCTCCCATTGCTTCGACGAGGAGCCCTTCGCCCTCGCGACCCTTTCTCCGTTCTTTCCCGCCAATCTGTCTCGTAATCATCGAGGACCGCGGTGTTCTTTGTGCGGGGCAAAAAAGAAGGAAGAAAGGGTACCAGAGGTAGGGCGAGGTTGGTTCCCGTTCATTGTCTCCCATTGTGTCTAAAAAACTTCGTTCCAGTTTCATCCGGCGTTTACTGTTTTCCCACCAACACCGGGAATCGTTCTCATGAATAATTCGCGTAACTCGAACGAATCGCCCGAAGGAGTCTCCGTCGACCGTATTCAACGACGCGTTCCATCTTCGGCGTCGTTCCAAATACCCGGAGACTTATGCCCATTGTCCACTGGAGGGTTTTGCTTTCCAAAGACCCATTTAAAATCGATAAAAATCGAGAAATCGTGGCTTCTTCTTAAATAAATATCTCTGATTACTTTCTTGGAAGTCTAGTCAAAGTTTCTGTCCCCTACTCGTACTCTATTTACTTTGATCGAGCAATGTCTAAAGGGACAGAATACGATCTTTTTATAAAGAGTATGTGATAGATCAAATTTCTTTAAAGTTGTTCTGTATTATGCATCGTTGGTCTATCAGAAAACTGAACGTGCACCGCCTCTGAGCGATATATTCGTCATACCGCGACTCCATTTTAAAGCAGCCGAACCGCTGGCCTCGACCTATAACGTCTGTGTACGCCTCGGTTAGAAGCAGACGTATTTGTTAGACTCGTGTCCGTGAGACCAAATGGCGCGCCTACCAATAAACAGCACTCTTTCTATAATAAATCTCGGACTATTTTTAGACGCGAACGTGCACGGAGGCGGCAATAGTGCCTCGATGCATATAATTGGACGTTCTTCTGCTAGGCCAACAATGTACATCGTCAAACAATTGCACCGGGATATCGTTTACATAAAATTTAGTCGAGACTTTTGCTATTTTAAATCCATCTCGATCGCCGCGTCGAAACTTCTTCGCGAGACGATCCACGATGATCGAACCCGAGCCTACGTCCCCTCTATTACGTCCCCGTCGATCCTTGGACTCCCTGGATCGCCGCCATCCGCGTCAGTGTGTGTGCTCTCGCTCCAATCCGCCACCCTCGATCGTCCAACGCCTCCTCTTCTCGCCAAGTTCGCTCTTCTCTGTTTGTCTTTCTCGATTACTTTCGCTCTCCACACAACCCCCGCCCCCGCCCCTACCGATTTACTGAAACGCTCTGCGTGCTCCAGGTCGGAGCATCATCACGAAGAAGGGCGAAGGTTCTCAGGTGAAGGAATCCACCGACAGCAGCACAACGATCGAGGACGATGACGTTAAAGGTAGGACACCCACTCCTTGTCACTGTAGATCTTCTTCTAGATCCTTCTTCGCGCGTACCCCCGGTTCCCCGTTGGGAATCTCCGGTCCGGAGATCGCCCGGGAATCCGCACCTACTAATATCCGCCCACTCTTTTTGTTTCACCACCCACCCGACTGCACCGAGAGGGTGCAGAACCCGTGGCCTTCGTCCCGTACGAGGAAAAAGGAAACTTGCGACGGATTCGAACGGAAAATTCGCGGAGTCCGCCTCCTTGAACTTCCAGTCCAAATTTTTTTAACGCGAAATGATAAAATATAAATGCGGAAGTTTCGACGTCTGTCACGCACACGTATTTCTGGAATCCTGTTCGGGAAGATCGATGAGATAGGAACGGCTTCTCTGGGATTGTACATTTAGTTTAAGACGAGCAACTGGTTAATTAATTTGATCTGATCGGGTTTGTCACGTTGACTGTCACGTCACTCGAACGCAGGTGACACGTGAAATCCACGGGGAGCCACGTCACTCGTGTATAGGCGACACTCGCATTTTAACCGTGCCACGAATGATATTAGTATTTCAAATAAGTTGTATTGATTGAGATTGATAAATCTTGCAGGATTTTCAGTGTTTGAGAATAGAGCTATCCTCCGAAGACTCGATTACACGTTAGCTATAAACAGTCTTATTAATTTTCTACCGTTGCTGAGTGCTGTGGAATAAAAAATCCGCAAAATTACATAACAGACAGGGAGGTGTACTTGGCGAATATTCCTGGTTAAATAAGACCACTGATCCTTAATGTGTTTGGACAGTGTTCTCCGCACAGGGGGATCGAATATCTCGACCCCCCGGGTACGAATTCCGTTGAAACCCGGGGCAGTTATCGGGGCAGGAAATAGCGTGGCGAGACTCCGCGTCGTGGAACGCTGTTAAACTAGACGCAACTTTGAACAGCGTTCCCCTCCTCGATCCGTCGCATGTTCCGCTCGCACGCGACGAAATCGAGCCTTAGGCTCGTTAATTGCTCGAGACCCAACCGGGACAGTTAATTTCCCAGCGAGATCTGCTAATGGATCGAAGCTGAATTCGCTTGTTCCACTTGCGCGGCTATAACTGGATTTCAGTCTCGCTGTCGCCCGGATCCGAGACGGACCTCGCCTCCTTCCCCTCCCGGGAGGTGGTTGAATCGTCGAATCTGAATTTATGGTCCAAGCACTTTTCGCTCGGCGACCCCGGGTCACAGCCGACGAGATCGACGAGTTCAAGCTGTCGCTGACGTCCCATGGATCCCATGGATCCGAACTAGGCCTGGGACTACTCGATCAACGCTCGAACCTCTGGACTTTAAACGATAATTACACCGAAACGTATAAAAATAAAACGTGTATTATAGATTCGATAAGGAAAACTACACGAAGTCACGAAACAAGTTGCACGTAGTTTGGTGCTCCATTTGTTTCATAATTTTATACAGTTTACTCGAATTTATATTACGCCTTTGGCTTGTACACGTTTCAGTGTAATAATTAGACTGCGGATGTTTATGCGTTCATGAGAAATTTTTATTCTCAAAGAATGCACTTTACCAATTATTATATTTAGGGGTTGAGACAACCCTCTGCGAAGCTCTCATTTAATCAATTCTATCCGCAGTCTAGTATCGTTGAGTTTCTGAAGAAGGCTTACATCGTGAGTGAAAATAATTTTTAGATTTCGTATATTCTATATATTGCTTCACTGATCAGAACTACCCCCATCCAGAAGAAAATACTCGACGTTATTGACTTGGTTAGTCCCAGGTCTAGCGAAACCTGGCCGTTCGAATATTCTCTGAACTCACCCCCTTTAACTCCCCCCCACCCCCGATCGGACACTTGGAAACCGACGATGATGCGAGCAATCGATTGCGTGTCCCTCGATAATCGCAGGACTCAACGGGTAAGACGAATCGGAGTCGTGTCTCGACTCCTGCCACGAATACCGATGCAACGAAGAATCCTTCTCCATTTTATGTTTCTGTCGCGCGGGTTGCATCGACGACGATCCCACTGCATCGGTAAACGGTGTTTCGCGGTCCCTTCGACGTTACGAAATCACGAGCAGATACTTGCGCGCGCATATCCGCCTATTATTAGAGAGATAGCACACTCCTGCTCACGTGCAAATCGATCGTCGGACAATAGCTTCGAGTAGTTGAGTATCCCCCTCGTTGCTTTGCCCCTTCAACCTGTCGCCCTCTCTAGCCACGATCCGCCTTATACTTGCGTACACCTGTGCCCCGATTACCGATATATGTTCGTAAACCTGTCACAGAGGTTCGTCGATCGCTGTTTACCATCCACCGTTTAAAGCCCGTTCGTTTTCTAGTCGATCGAGGCGCCTTACGCACGGATACGCCGCCAGGTTAAAAATATCAATCCACTGCAATTTTTTTTTTATTCCAGATCGTTGGTACTCGTATAATAAACGTGGTGTCTCAGAGACGAAAAGAAAATTCGGAATTAATTCAAAGGTTACGTTTCCTTTGGTCTTTAATTTTAAAGAGTATTCTTTTGGCACTCGCCCAGAGACGTACGATGATCGTACGTGGATGAAATTGCCACGCGAAATCTGTTCTCGATCTTTTGCCAGGCAGCGTGTCCTTTTCGGGAACGGTTCTTTTGTCTCGTTCGCGTATTTTGCTTCGAGGATCGCGATAACGATCGAACGAACCTTTGTGGAACGCTCACGAAGACCGTGTTACTTCTAGAATGTAGAGCTTTGCTCGTCGTTGTTCACCGAATTCGCAACAGAGCTATCTCCCGCGGGTCTGTCTTCTCGCCTCTCTGTAGACGTTGGACTGTGTACTTCCGATAGTTCTATCGCGATTTTCCCCCTTTTTTTCTTGTGTACGTAGTTCTGATCCAACTACGAGACTATCGAGGAAACGATACGGTCCTGCACTGTGCGTTCATACGAGGCAAATCGTTGCAAACCCAAATTATCTCTAAAGTAGCTTGGAACACAATTAAAACAGTTTTCTCTTGACGAACAAATCATCTGTTTATCGTTGATAAATACAAAATTGGACCATTCCAGAGAAATGGACAGTTTCAGAGAGTTTGTGAGGAGAATTTGACTACTTTCGCGTAGATTTGATCCTCGTCGGGACGCAATGGCGTCGGCCGTATCGTTTCGCGCGTTCATACGAGTTTCTACATCTATGATCGATACGGCTGTCAGCTCTCGCAAGCAGAATCGTCTACTTACCCACGAAACTCCACTTTAACCGTGCGCAGTACTGTATCTCTATCGACCTATTTCTGGGCATCGAGTTTTCACACCCGCGTTTTCGTTCCCGATCGACCCGGCCTAATGAACCATCGTCGAAGTTCCTGATTAATTCTGACGGCCCGTTCTTTCGCGATTCCCCGATAGAATCGCCGCCACGCGATCCCCACACAAGCAAACACGATCAGACCCTCTCGAGACTCTTCACGCCGAAAGGGAACGAAACAGCTCGTCGAATTTCATTCCCCGGGACGGACGACGGATTCTCGTCGACGCTTTCCGAGCTCTCTCGTTTTAACGATCCGAGGACTTGCCCGTGCTTCCCAACGAGTCGACTTACTGCGTCGTTTGTTCAAATTTTTATACGAGAAACAGAAAAATTCCTAGTAACTCTGGATTTAAAAATTCACGAACAATAAGGCACATTTATTTCGAGAATTTCAACATCGGAAAAGCGAAATCACATATACGTGACAGCGGCTGCCAACGCCATTTCAAATCTAAATAACCTGAATAAATTAGATGTCGAAACTAACCCGTAAAAGCTAACATTTCCATCCTATATTTAACCTCTTCTCGACCTGCTTAGCAAACTCACGTATGCGCGACAACGGCCGTCAACGCGTTGGAAAGCAAAGTCGTATTTCGAGAGACCTCTGGAAAGCTCTGGACGAATTCGTCCGTCAATTTTTACACAGGATCCAACGTCTGTGTGTATTCGCGTGTGTCTAAAAAATTGTTAACACCTGTCGGTCAGCTTTGAACTGCTCTTTTCATCGCGTCGTGAATTTTCGGGCACACGAAAGCCTTCGTTTCGCGCGCATACATCGCCAGAAGCAGAATCATTTACATTTTCAGAGGATTGCACTTTTCCGGCGGTAAGAAAAATCGTGCGAAATGGCGAATCGCTTAAAGGAATCGTTACCCGCGGATATTTTATCTCGGGTATGAAATTTTTCGCGCAATCACGCGAAAGTGCAATCCGCGTAATCCCCGGCATGCATGCAACCAAAGTTTCCCCTGTCCCATACACCGAAAAACACGACCAGACAATGGGTTTCATTCGCTTTCAAGACTCGGACACTTTATCACGAACTGAATTGATCCTTGAGCCAGACACGAGTACACTCGAGCACAAAACGGCAATACTACAGAGCACCCGAAACAATTGGACTCAGAAGCAGATTCGATCGACAGAGACCCTCTCTGTTTACCCGTTTCTTCGATGCAAATCGAAATGCAAAAAGGTGAACCGTCGGCTCTACGAATAACTTGCTACCGAGTTCTCCTTTCGTACGCTCGCGTCGATCGAGATTTTAACGATTATACCTCGAAAATTAGGTTGATCGGACGCTATTCTATCGGATGCTCTGTTGCACGAGCGAATCAAGGTACAAAAAGATCTCTAAATCCATCTATTTTGAATTTCTAAACGATTTAGAAAGATTTAAAATTGTCAGGCAATTTTTGTCGACCGAATTGAGCGAGATTGAGCAAATAATTGAAATTCACGAAGCGAAAGAGGCACTTCTATGTCAGAATTCAAAATTCCATACGACACTGTTACCAACAATCGCCACACCCACGTAGCAAGCGATTCGCTTTCGATATATCGTCCTCATAGTCGTTCCATACACACCGACACACACGCTCACACACGAACACGTGTCCCGTCTCTAGCAGAGTACAACTAAGTAATGCGTAGAACAGCTATGCGAGGAGCGTTGAGTAATTGTTCTTTTGCGC